CTGTCCCATTTGCTTAGAGTGTGGTCCTATATTGCATTAACTCCAAGCTGTCAGGAGATAAACCCAACCACAAGACAGACATGTTATCAAATAGTAAGACCACATTTGATTTTGAGAAATCTATCTCTTTCTCTCTCTTGATTTCATTTTTCTATATGTTATTCAAAAGAATTATTTAAAAATTAAAAAAAAAAAAAAGAAACCCCACATTTTCTTAATTCTCAAATTAAGTCCAAAAGGACATTAGCTCGGAGAAGGAGGAGGGGAAGAAAAAGAAAAAATCTGAAAATTAGGAAAGGGATCATATCTCAACCTAGCTTGAAACGAAATATATGTATAATTAACCAATTAATTAAGATATAACTTGCAGTACTTAGTCCTAGTTCTCCTGTTTCTCGTCTTATCCCTTCATTTTATTCGATTATTAAAAAAAATTAAAAGAAAATTAAGTTTTTGGAATTAAGTCAAATAAAGAAATAGGAAAGTGTTTGGTAAACATGCTTGGATGATGTATCTCATTACTATCTCTTAAATTTTAACAATATTATAAACAAAACTACCATAATATTTACATGCTCCTATGCGCATATTATATCTAGAGTACAGCTAGAAATATATTTACACACATATTACATATATACAGTGCAACATACATATACACGTACATTTACATCAGAAAACAACGTTATACATCCAAACGTACTGATACTAGCTATCAGTTTTCAGGTAACATTTTTTTTTGTTTTTTTTTTAAAGAACAAAAAATATTAAATTTCAGTATTAAACATTTTCCCGGCCCCTTTACACACAGAATATTATTGTCACCAAATTACAAGCCTATGTTTTATATCCATCAAAATTTTTACACAGTAAATAGCACGTACGTTCGGTGGAGATATATTCACTAGCTATAATGTATACACGAACAACCATCAATTTGTGGCACATCAGAGCAAAATAATAATAATAATAAATTTGTGGCGCAAAATTAAGTAGTACTGATGGTATATATTGATTATTTACGCATATTAGGTTCCATGACACACAAATATACTCTATACATAAATAAACACATAAATATATCTGAGACTGGTAACTATTGATATCCCTTAGCTACTTCATAAATATTCCTCCCAGAGAGTCAAAATTAAGAACAGCAGAAGATAAATATGAGAATTTTCAGGCCCCTGAAAAACTGTCAAGGAAATAGCTGGAGGATAGAGACTTGAAAACGAAATTCCCCAAAACCTCCCCAAACATTCTAATCGTGAAATATTAAGGCATCTCCATATTGATCTATTGAGCTCGAGTAGATGAACTTCATCAATCTATATATATATATATATGTATGTATGTATGTATGTATGTATGTATATATATATATATCCTCGTCGACTCTGCAAAATGCTCATTCAATAACCAGACTGTCTAATTGAGACAAGACATATATTTTGTATATTTACTTCTGCAGATATATATATATATATATATATATATATAATAGTCAATTCTTGTGTGCACAATCATTGGTTATATGCGGTAGGGATGATCAATTAATAAACTTTTATATCCAAACCTAATTGGAAGCCATTGCTATATTGTCTCGTACTTGCCTATTGACTATAGCTAATGCGTCCAGGTGTCTCTATGTTTTCATATGTGTGTGTGTGTGTGTCATTCATATATACATACACGCACATATATAGCTAATTGTAACTTATATATATATTTGCCATATTTTGTGTGTATATATAAATGAATATGATTTATCAGGGATAGATGAACCAGCCGGCCGTTATAATGTATATTCTTTAGGGGAGGTACGTAATTATGTTTTGGCTACAGTATTGATTAGGGTTTGATTATCTGAACTAATTGCCCTTCTCATAGGATCCATGTAATATTGATTCTTTCGTACTTTTCTTTTCTGTGATGTCTTGGAATTCTAGCCAAATATTGCATATCAGGCTATCAGCTGAGTTTAATATCAGTACTAGCCAAGTCCAGGCAGAAATATTAGGATGGAAATTAATTCTAGAGATCGGGCTATATTTTTGTTTACTTTGGATACCCTAGAGAAAGCTATGAAGAGTACAATTATCAAGATTTTTTTTAAAGAAAATTGGTCGACTCAGTGATATCAACGATTGTATTTCGCTATCTAATATTGTATCAAATATTGTTTCAGTTGGCTAAGTTTTTTAAGTCACACTATAGATATTCAAATATATTTAAATTCGGTACTTTAAGAATTATGGAGAGGATTTATATGAGAATAAAAAAAAGATGGATTCAAATCACTTGTCTAATTTTAGGTGATGTTTGATAGATAAATTCGTTCCCTGATTTGAATCATGGTTTGTGGTTCACTACAGTATTTTCTCTCACAAAAAATACACGTAAATCGAAAATAATTCTAATCACATGGTTCTAATCCATGAACCAAACGCACCCTTAGTGTCCAAAATGATGTCAAACAAACCACTTCATGCCAATTGAAATAAGAAAAAAGGAGGACATTCAAATCCAATTTTCGGTGTTTCAAATAATATGTGATCACTGGTTATATTTTTCCATATCATTTAATACTCAAACATTAGACACATAAAAGTCAGTTAAAAAGCATTTTAAATTTTCTAAATAATTTGTCATGATATGAAGAAAGAGTTAAAAAAACATTTAAAATTTTCTAAATGACGTGTTATATTGATATGATTGGTTAGCATCATTTTGTGCACTGAAATTGGACATTGTATACGTTATTTATATATTTTGCAAGGGCTGAAAGATGAGAGGGGAAGGAATTTGCAATAAAACGGCTTAGCTTAATATCTCTAAGCAGATATGCATTTAGTTAAATGAAAAGTTAGAACTCATTATATAAAGGCTTTCAAATGTAGAAAGTGGTTAAAAAGGACGAATCTTTAAGGGAAAATAATTATTTAAGTTTGGTTAGTTGATTTTGGATGGAAAGAATAGGGCAGTAGATCTTTATTCCACGACAAGAATGCAACATACATATATACTACAAATAAGTGGGTCTTTTGTGACTAAATGCTCATATAGTGGTAGTTAGACTTTGCTATGTAAACATAATGATTCCCCATATACTCAGTTTTGTTTGCACCAAAAAAATGGTCCATACCCTTATAAATGAAAGCAAGCTCGTTTAAACCTACTTCCAGTAGTACCACACACACACACAATATATATATATATATATATATATATATGTACCCTAACTAAAACACGCAATTAATTTTACCTCCAAAAGCACTTTAACTTTGTCTGATGAAATAATACACACACACACACACACACACACATATATATATATATATTATATTCATCATGAATTGAAAGGAATATCAGAAATGGTAATTTCTGACAAATATCATATAGCCAGAAGTGCAATATATTTATTCCACAAGTTAAGTGGAGAAAATGAGACGACTATTTGTAATTACCATCATGTTCTAACTATACATAGCCAGATTACATATTATTAAGGTTTCTATTCAAGTGGTAATCTTGAAGATATTCTAATCTCTATTAAGGGCAGTTTTGTTGACTATTTGAGTACTTAATTACTGATTTTAGCCCTTCAGTATCTCTAAGCAATATTCTATTAAGGACAGATATCAAAGATTAACCTTTGTAGTGTTATGAAAGCCTACTATATATATAGCTAATGAGGAAACAAATTATATAATATACCCAGGCGATGGATTTACTGATATAAATGGTGTCTTTTTCTAATTCCTTCATTAAAAATCTATTACTCATCCATTCACTTCTACCTAACAATGGGAAGAACACAATTATTTTATATCTTTTTTAAAAAATAAAAATAAAAACAACGTTTTTGTATTGATTGTCTTAGCTAGGTTGGTCTCTCGAAGAGGAATAAAACAAAAGGATTATGATCCGTGTGGAAGATGGGCAATGACGGGTGAAATATAAAATGACCGAATGTGGAAGCAAAGGAACAGTGAAATTATAATTATTACTCATCACCCATCTCAGGAAGATATATATATATATATATGTATATATACATATACTAATATATGTGTATACATATATTTGTCCGTAAAAAAAATATTAAAGAGGAAAAGCTAAGTCAAAAGCCTGAAAAAAACAAAGAAAATAACAACTCACAGGCTACTTACAACCATAAATTAATTCGTCATGTAAAAAATTTAGCTCTTGTGTTCCATTAAAGAGATACATCAAAAATAGAAGAAAACGAAACGTATAATCTTGATAAATACTCTTTAAAAATGTATCAGTCGGGATTTTTACTCTTTATTATTAATTTATAACATTTTTAGTCAAATAATTATACTTACAAAATAATATTTATCAAAAATAAAAAATAAAAATCTAGACTCATACACTCTTAAAAGTAAATTCTCCAATTTTCTCAAACTAAATTCCAAAGCATAATTGCAAGGCCAGGGAAAGTATATATATAAATGGTCCACCAATCCTAGTTGCTTAATTCAATTATATATATATATATAGCTCGTGCTCTCCAAAACAGCTGGCTTTTTGAGCCTTATCGCGAGACCTATATTAAAAGACAACAATAACAAAAACAAATTAAAAAATCAAACAAATTAGACATAAGAACAAAAGAAATTTGAGGATTGAAAAAAAAAAACACCAACAAAAAAGAAAAAAAAAAAAAGACCACCAAGGATGATGATAGGGACAAGCTCACATGAGCCCAACCAAATAATACATGGGTCCCTACGTATAATCTCTCCTTTTCTTTTATATCTCTCTGATAGAAAGAATTTATATCCATGATGAAGAAAATAAAAGAGAAAAGAAAAAGAAAAAGAAAAGAAAAAGGAATCGCCTAACTTAGAGAGGAGCTTCCAGTGAGGCAGTACCAAACAGCTGTTATTGTAAAACTAAACATGTATTATACAAACATAATATATATAGTTATAGTTATATATACATGTACAAGCACTCGTAAATCTCTCTCTTTCTCTCTCTAAAAACTCATAAAAAAACCCACACAAGGTCAACAAACTTATGAGGATCAACAACTGTGAAGAGCAAAGCAAAGCAAAAGAGAAAGTCTTTTGAAACGTCCATGAGTTATTGCAAAGTGGTTTATTCGTGTCTCATGACTAACACTTCTACTACAACTTCTACTCCTTCTTGGTCAAACAAGAATGCACCGTCCTAATTATCCATTCTCTTGAAACCAACCTTCCATTTTTTTTCTTTTTTTCTGGGTCAAGAATTCTCACTACTCAAAAATCTGTAACTCTAGAAAAAGAAAAATTGTATCCAAAAAAGGGAAAAAATCCAAAACCCACTTGAATTCTTCTCCTTATTAGTTGAAAAATCTCCAATCTATAGATCTGATTGGTTAGATAGAGATCTTGATGGATTTTGGGTCTTCAAGAGATGGGGTTTTCTCAGAAGACATTGAGCATATAAACAACAACAACAATATTAAAAACAGGATAAACATTCATCCTTTCTCTTACTCCAATTCTTCGCTGTCGACGCTGAGCGGCAGTACCACCACCGGTCCCGGCCCCGACACAAAGCTCGAGCTCATGAACTCGTCGTCTCCGCAAAACGACGACGCATCGGCGGCTGCGACGGCGACGGCGGAGGAGAATTATCAGAGCATAGAGAGGGAGCACATGTTCGACAAGGTCGTGACGCCGAGCGACGTCGGGAAGCTGAACCGGCTGGTGATTCCGAAGCAGCACGCCGAGAAGTACTTCCCGTTGGACTCGTCGACGAACGAGAAGGGCCTTCTGCTCAACTTCGAGGACCGGAACGGCAAGCCGTGGCGGTTCCGGTACTCGTACTGGAATAGTAGCCAGAGTTATGTGATGACAAAGGGTTGGAGCAGGTTTGTCAAGGAGAAAAAGCTCGACGCCGGCGACGTTGTGTCGTTCCAGCGCGGTGTCGGTGAGCTCGGCAAGGACCGGCTTTTTATAGACTGGCGGCGCCGCCCTGACGCGCCTGAGAACCACCACCACCACCTTGGAGGCATGGCGTCGCTCCACCACCATCTCCCCGCGGCGGCGGCTTTTTCCTTCCCGTCCGTGCCGTGGAGCCACTCGCTAATGCGGCCGCCTCCGCCATTTCAGTCGCCGAGGGACGTCAGCAGCGGCGGCGGTGCGGGACAGCTGCAGTTCTCGCCTGGGATGGTGAATTACGGCGCGATTAGTCTTCACCACCACCATCATCCCTATCGGAATAGCTACGGCGGCGGCGGCGGTAATTCTTACGGTTTCGGAGGGCGCGTTCCCTCGGTGTGCTCGGCGGGGCCCGTTTTTTACCTCAGGTCATCGGCCGCACCGCAGGAGGAGCAGCAGGCTGCCGGGGTGGTGGTGCAACGGGGCGGCGGGGGAGGAGGTGTCGAGCAGATGGTGTTCGATTCGGTGCCGGTGGTGCACGCAAAGGCGGCAGCGGCGGGGAAGAGACTGCGGTTATTCGGAGTGAATGTGGAGTGTCCGGCGGAATCCGAATCCGAAGAATCATCAACATATGATACTCATCATCATACAATGGCGGTATCTCCTCATCATCTTCACCTTTCTTCTACTTCTTCTTCTCCTTCTCCTAATTCACAATCTCCTCTCGGCCAGTTGAGGCTCTACAATGGCACGCCGATCCCCGGGATTTCGACCGTCGATTATCTCAACAAAGGGAAGGCTTCCATGACCTCCAATTTTGACATCTGATACAAAGACCAAGAAGAAGAAGAAGATGACGAAGGCGAAGAAGATTCAGTACTACTACAACATTATTGCAAATCATGATATGTGGAGAAGAGTACTTAAGAAAAAGGGAGAAAAAATGGAAGTTAATTTAGCTTGACGACTCACACAGCTTCAAAAATGACTCCAAACTTTGGCTTCATTTTGGTACTACTTTTTCTTGATGCAAACGACTAGCTTTTTTTTTTTTTTTTTTTTTTTTTTTTTTTTTTTTTTTACCAAAACATCCAATGTGGGAAATGGCTCGTAATAACGGAATTGGGAAAGTGAGATTATTTTCAGTTATGGGTACACAGAAAGAATTGGGGTAGTACTACAAAGGTTTGGAGAATTGGGCCGTTTTTCTTCTTTTTTGGGGGGTGAGGGACGGGTGGAGAGAATTAGCCAAAGAGAAACGCATGTCTTCTTTATTATTATTAGTTTAATTTTAACTCTTGTGTACAAATAATTTTATAGTACAATTTCATGATATATAGAGATCATAGAGGAATTAAGTATATTCCATCGATGAAGACATAGATTATATATTTTATATATTAAATTCCTCATTTCCCCCCAAGATCATGATCATTTCTTGTAATCTCTCTTTCTTTTATTTTTTTTCCCTTAATAGATGGGTTTGGTTAGATATTCTCCTATATATATAAAAATAAATTATTGGGTTCCCAATGATAAATGTTCCAACAACAAAAACATGATCTTTTCACATACATTCTCTTTGGCTAACGATACATGGACTGACTCTTTTTATTTTCTATCTCCCTCTCTCTCTCTCTCTCTCTCTCTCTCTCTCTCTCTCTCTATATATATATATATATATATATGTATATATGTATATATATACTTATATCTCCAATGTTGTTTTGAGTAAATGGGAGCAAGGTAGCTTTTACAATGATCTGTTAATCCTGACTGGTCTCAGCGACCGAGTACACAGTAGTGGTAGTAGTAGCTACCTGAGATAATAATAATGTTTTATTTTGCAGTTTTGTATTTTTCCAGCTTTATTAGGTTGTTGTTCTTGTCGCTGCTTCCTTCGGCACACCCCCGCAGGTTTTGCAGACAAAAGTTGCAGACCGTAAAAAGGTATGTTACATTTATCTTAAATCTTATCCCCCTATTTCTACACAATACATATATATTTATATATATATAAACTCTCACCAGCTTATTTATTCTTTTGCTATCTAGTTATTATATATAGCCACTTTTCTTCCTTCTTCGTAGTTTATTACCATTAATGTGATTATTACACTCGTATGAGATTAAAGTTTCTTATAATTAAACCACAATATTATTTAGACCATAAGCTTCAAGCAGCCTTCTTTGTACTAATGTTGTAGGGTGACATGAGAAAGTACAAGATATTTAAGAAATGATCACATTTGTGAGTTCAATGTAATATGGATTATAACTATCGGCCATTTAATACCATAAGATAAAAAATAGTAATAAACAAAAGAAGCAAGTTTGACCATCCTTTCTATTAAACACTTACAAATTAAATTGTTGGGTTTTCATACAAACTAATTGAAATACAGATTCTTTTATCAAATATAAATGAAAGAAGAAGGTAGATAACTATATATACACAAGTTATATCTTATACTATTTATATCCTTCTGAGAGTTAATTGTATTGATTAAATATTCCAGCTGATTGGAGTAAAATATGACATCCTAAAATCCAACCTTCCACCAACTTTGAAAAATTGGAATTTGGAAATCCTTGTCACTCAATATGTATGTTTGATCAGAGCTATGGATTAATGAATAATGCACGAACCGATGTTGCTAGCTTGAATTTCCTTAATAAGTGTCGTATTCTTTCTCACATATGAAAAAGAAAAGAAAAGTAATTAGAACTATAGTGTTCTTTTCTTTGGCTAGTATGAAATTTCCATGGTGCTCTTTCTTTATCAACTTGGTAGGGTTTAGCTAAGCATTTATATATCCTTAATTATTCCGAAAAACCTCACTCCTCTTTCAGGTTTAGCTAAGCATTTACTTGTTCCTTGTTTGAGCAATCATCTCGAATTTTCAAAATGAGTTCGCTTTTTTTGTTTCATATATTCATATAGATAGAATTTTAGAATTTAATGGCCTATATATGCCTTTAATTAATTGTCTATCTTCAATGGCATATGTTTGTCTCAATATTTATTTTTTAGGAACTGGTTATATTCCTATAGTTGGCTAATTAATGGTTACTAGTAGGATATGAAGATAATTGAAGCAGCGTAACTGGAATATTTTGTTTGTATATATTAGCCATGCCATGCATTTAGTTTCAAGCTTTATAGCTCATTTCATTCATGATCAAACCACTCTAAGCTTGGATATATACTGTTGGACTATTAATCTAGTCTTCGTGAAATTTCGTCTAGGGTAATGCAATAAACACAAGCACAAAAATAAACATGCATATCTTATTAAGGGCCAATTAATTATTACGGTTATGCTGTTAAAATACTATACTATTAATCAAAAGTTATTGTGACCTAACTAGATAGTCCTTTTCTTTTTTTTTTTTTTTGCGCTAAGAAGTAGATAGTCGTTTGATAAACCTTTTTGTGTGAAATATATAATGACTAAAATAGACATATTTGATTTTCATTTCGTGTAATAAAAGTATTTAATTTAGTACACATATTTATAGTTTAATCTTTATTTCTAATATCAAGGTAAACGTTTGTAATTTGTTTATATAAAAATTCAAAGAAAAATGTAATTTTAGTTTTACTATCTCAAGTATATTTAAAAAAAAAAAAACAAAGTACATCATACTAATCAGTTACATATTTATGTAACATATCCAATAGTTATTGAAAATTTTTGAGTAAAATTTGTTATAAAATATTTAATAAAAAAACTAAAAATAAGTTTTCAATTTTCAAGTAAACATTTAAAAAAAGTTATCTTTTTTATTTATTATTTAACTGCATAAAATGGATTTACAATGATAGTTTATTATAACAATAACCTAGTAAATAAAAAAACAACAAAAGCACTATTAACATGATATTAAGTAGGATTAAGGCCCTTATATATATATATATATAGAGAGAGAGAGAGAGAGAGAGAGAGAGAGATTATTTAAGATACATAACAAATAGTTGCTGTGGAATTTTACGCTTTTAAAAAAATTGCCTTAAATATAAAGCTGTGATTGATCAAGAAAGAAGGTTGAGTATTCAATAATATTGATGATAACTAATGTTACAGCGTGTTGCCCTACATGGCCGTGTATAGTATAAAACTGAACCAGAATTTTGATGAGAACATTATTCTTATTGAATCTTCTTTGCCTTTTAGCAATATAGATAATTTTCAAACTGCCGTATTAATTGAGCATGCAAAACTATGGATTCGACATGCTTATACCTAATTTTTTTCAGACTAAAGATTCTCGTTTACTACACACATATAGTTATAAAGAGAGAGTCATTAATTAATTGGCAAAATCCAATATTTATTATGGTTGGAACTGAAACTGACTATTCAGGAGAAAAAAGCAGATTGGCAATACCATTTTAGTGAAACAGTACTACTCTTTTTGCCTTTTGGTGATGACATTACCAATTGGTACTTGTCAATTTAGGCAAACAATTATCTTTGGTATGTAATCTGTTTTGAACTTCCTCTAATGGTATATAATCTCCCCATATTTATACCTAACCAGTTTCTCTATCTATATATATATATATATATATACTGCTGCCCCATTGTTCTTGTTAAAGAATTACTCAGTTAATAGCTCTGATTACGATTAGGTGCATCTAATTAATTTACATGAGTCTAAATTACTTGAATGGAATTTTATATGGAAGCTAGTAATGAGCAGGTTATAAGGTCGATACTTTTTAATAAAAATTAATTAGTACTTTCAGCTGTAAAACACACACACATTTATCTTAAGAGTAATGTTAGGGACATCAACTCCAATATTAATTTTTGTGTACTAACTGATGTGACATGTGAGTTGTCATGTTTTTAATTATTAATTGATCACGTGTCAATATTTTAAATACCGGCCAATATAAAAATAACAACTCATATATATGTCACATCAATTTGTACACAAAAATTGAGATCAGAGTTAGTGTTCTTAGCATTATTAATTCTAATGGTTAATTTCGAATGATGATGGAAGTGCTTATACTGTTGGAGTTTAAATTGCGAGACACTTCCCTGAGGTATTTGTTTCGAGTTCAAAATATAGTTTAACTTCCCTTTCTTCTTCCCTTGTTAACTTTCTAGTTTAAGAAAGATTCCTAAAGTATACTTTAAATGGGAAAACAAAAATTCGCTTCACTCTAAGCTAGCTACCTAGTGATCGCGTGTTCTAATGATATATAGTCATCTAGATACCACATAGTAAATTTTTTTCCTGTATTTATTAATTAGTTTATTAAAGAAAATTACAATTTTGGTACTTTTAATTATGATTTCGTGAATTATGATTATTTTTCTCGAGGAGTAGTGCATAAGGTGGATCACTAGGTACCCCCCTTATTCCTAAATTATTCTGTTAAATTCCTTCTTTAAAAAAAAAAAAAAAATCGCTTCAATCTTTTTGCGCTGCGTGTGCGTGTGTGTAAATTCAAGCACCTCCAGAAAATAATACTTATTATCAAGTGTAAAAACCATCATGATAAAAGCATGAAAGAGGCCTTTCAAATCAATAAAAAAATTATCCCAATATATATATATATATATATATATATATAAACAATTGAAATAAGTAGCAGCAATATTCCATTATGAGGCTCTTACACCCATGTAAATATAAAGAAAGAACGATCCAAACTTGTACTTTAGAGGTTCAATAATTAAGGCAAGCTGTGCTGACTGTAACTAGCTAGTTGGCTGATATTTTTTTTTCCTTTTTTCTTTTGTTTTTTTTTTTCTTTTGGTGAACAATTACTTGACATTGCAATCTGTAGCTTCTATGAGCTAATATTTTGAATTTACTTTTAACTATAATTTTTTTATTCAATGCACTACCCTTTAGAATGCATGTGCCACACAAGTTCGTTAGCCGCAAATTTAAATCTCTATCACTACAATTATAACATTTAATAATGGACTGATAATCACGTACGATTACATAATTTTTTTCACTTGTAATAAATTATAATTATACAAATAATTAACGTTGTTAAATTTCACCGTTTTACATAATCAATAGTAATCATATACGTAACAAGGCTTCACCAACTTTAGACTCAGCGGCTTGTTTCATGTGGATTCTAGTGCATTAAAGCAGAACCACACATATTAAGAAAAAAATAATGTTATTCCCTACTAGGTTTAAACCATAATATTGAGTTTTGATGCTTAATCAATATTTTAATGCTGTCAATGTTGCTAATTTTGGCAAACCGGGGTCAAATTAATTTTACTATATAGGACGAGTAAAAGTTGTCCAGGTACATAACAGTTGATTAATACTAATGAATTATTATGATGTATATGCATATAGCACTAGCTATTGAGTAATTTCAAGATTTCTTCTGCAAATTTGGTGGAGTATATAGAGTAGATCTT